AGATTAATGGCGTTACCTGACGCCGTGAGAATATTTTGTCAACTTTGACCGAATATCCCCTGTCTTCTCAGGCGAGCTCCATCATCCACTGCCGTCCTCCACCACCGGCGTCGCCATTTGCAACTCGAATCTCGACGATTTTCTGGAAAAATTTCAAACTTGCATAACTTCTTCATTTCTCAACCATTTTCGACCTACTTTATATGGATTTGAAGCTTATGAAGAGTAGAATTGCGTTATACCTTTTTGGAGTCCAAAAAGTGGACGGAGATGGCTGGAAAATGCCTTGAAAGATCTGGCCAAAACTGAGCTCCTCAAAACTCGGTTGTTTCACGTCAATGTTCTTCCAAAACTAGTCTAGGACCCTTAGAGAGTTGTGTAGAAGCCTTCCCAAATCCTAGAACCTTGTAACTCGGTCAAAAACACGTCGATCTAAAACTCGACCGATTCGAACCTCCCGAGTTAGCTAATCAAAACTCATCCATTCTGAATTTGATTGGTATGGTTGTGTTCGTGGAGTCAAGATGAACACGATGGTAGTGTTTTTGGGTTATGATGGTGAAGTTCGATGTAAGTTTGAGGGGGTTACAGAGTGAGACAGCTCGGCGAGGGAAAAAGGGAGAGAAGAGAGAGAGAGAACTTTTCTTCTTTTCTTATTTCTGATTGGGTGCCGTGAAGAGGGAAAAGATGGGATTTGTGACTTTAAAAAGAAGGAAAAACACAATTGAGTGGTAAGGAGGGAAACCGCGAAAAGGAATGGAGAAAGATGGCTTTTAAAAAGTTGATTGGCTATGATATAAAAGGGAAAGGCACGGGTAGCTAAATAGGAAACTAGGGATAGGGTTTCAAAGTTTCTACAGTAAAAGGAGATCGAAACCTATCCGTAATAGTGTTTCTACACAACGTGTACAATTTAATTATGATAGCGAGAAAAATAATTAAGAGCGAATAAACACGTCCATGTTACTTGCCAATAAGGGTATAATAGTCAATTCACATATTCGGGAAGAAATTACATAGAAAATTAAGGACAGGTCGTCACATTGCGGCTCTATGACAACAAATGCCAATCGAAACTGGAAAGCATTTTTTAATTGGTATGTCCAAAACCTGGATTTTACATGCACCTGGGTGACCAACCCTCCTCCAAGAAGGATTGTGCTATGCCCCTTGCCCCCCCTACGGGATCCTTATAGAGCGAAAGAGGTGCCTTGTGATTCCTAAGTTGCAGCATGTCCTGTCCAATTGCTATTTTTATTTCTGTATTTCTAATTTATCCATTAGGTCATTCTGGTTGGTTTCAATGTTAGTGATGAACACTTTTTTTTTTTTTTCCTTTTCAAGCATTTGTGGATTTTGGTTTGTTAGGTAGATTGTAATATGTCTTATCAGATAACCCAGTACGCTATAAAGATAGTATTTGTCGAAATGAGTTGTTTTGTTCATTACACTTTACAAATGCAAATTATCTGTATTACAATAAGTATTACTACTTTTCATTTTACTATATGATCAAATCTTTTGTATGTAAAAAATTTCTCAATCTAAATACTATCTTAATCTAAATAGTATTAATTTTCTACAACACTATCTTTCAAACAAAATCCTTCATGCAATTTCTAATTTTGCAGCAACGTGTGGTTAGCAATTTCTAGTAGTTTTCTATATGTACATGTGTCAATAACAAAATGTTGAATGGATCTATTTTTTGTCACATCCCAGCCAGGGGGGGACCACTTCCCGAGCCCGAAATGTTGAATGGATCTATTTTTTGTCACATCCCGCCCCGGGCGGGACCACTTCCTGAGCCCGATTCCACCGTAGCACGATATTGTCCGCTTTGGGCCCCAGCACACCCTCACGGTTTTGTTTTTGGGAACTCACACAAAAACTTCCCAATGGGTCACCTATCATGGGAATGCTTTCGCGCTCTACTCGCTTAACTTCGAAGTTCTGATGAAATCTGAAGCCAATGAGCTCCCAAAAGGCCTTGTGCTAGGTAGAGATGGTAATATACATATAAGGATCACTCCCCTGGGTGATGTGGGATGTCACATTTTTAATTGCACTGAGGTTTTTTGTGATAAAATTCAACATTAAGTGAGTTATGTTGGCAGCCCAATGCAGGGGCATTGACCTGTTGACCCTAATAAGCTTCCAAATATCCCATTTTTGAAAATTTTGAAGAGAATTAACAAAGCCAAAGTAACTATTGTTCCATCCCTCTCGAAACTTAAACATTTTCTTACGCATTGATTAAAGTGCTAATGTTCATTGACCAAACCATTCTTAGCAGGTCCTAGCCCACCTTCATAACTCTTATATAGGCCAATATAATAGGCACCTTCTTATTTTTTGCTAAGGTACCATTCACCTTGTATTATTATTGATGTGAAATATTCTAACACTCAAATTAAAATCCTATGATTGTAGTATATGAAAGTAGGGATCGTTTTAGGCCGGGGATTAGAAGGACTGCTAATCTACTCAAATTAAACTCTAAGACACTAAACTAGACTCAAAAACAGAAAACTAGACTCTAACAACTCAAAATAAGCTAAACTGACTCAAAATACACAAACTAAGTTAAATTGACTCAAAATAGGACCTAAGCAGTAATTTGGACAAATTCTAACTAAACTTTGACTCAAAACACTTAAAAACATAAAATTGGACAGATTCTAACTAAAAGACACAACAACGTAAAGGGGGATTGGATTTTGGACGAAATTAAGGTAAAAACAAGCAGATCGTAAACTTAAACTAACTTGCACGAAATTGGGGTGAATGGATGCGTGATAAGGTAGCTAGAGGGTCCTTCTCCACACATGACACATATGCAACACAATTGATTTCCAATTATTATCCCAATAAACCATGAACCTCAACGCCCCAGATTAACCGTGAACATCACTAATTAACCCTCAGATTTTCCTTAAGTCATTGAATTGGATGGGATACGCATCAACAACCAAATTATTCTTCAATAGTTCCCTACATGAACAACATAATAGAGATACAATCAAAGATCATTAAGCTTTGTGAAAATCATAAGCATTGACAAGGCATTTGTAACTATGAACAACATGATACTCCTACCAGGAATTTACTTAACATGATCGTGACTAGCAACCTCCACTACTTATGAATATAAGTTCATAACGATTAGGTGAAACTCCTTTATATTCTAGCATCAAATTCATGCATGCAAACTAAGTAGGCCTCCTTAATTAACATATAAGAATAAGTTCTTAATCAAACAGTTAAGTAAATTGCATTCACGATTTATGAAATCACAACTAGAAGTAATCAATTCATATTGCAAATATAATCATGGTTTTGAATTCACCTCTAACTAAAACGAATTTAGTTCCTCATGTTCGCAATTAAACAAAGATAATTAAATTTAAGGGAGTTTTAACGAAAAGCCCGCGATACTGTTCACTTTAACGAAAAACCACATTTTTACACTAAAAAGTCAAACCTGGTTCTATTCATTTTTCCTTTATTTTGTCCTTATCGTTAAAAGTCAAAGTTTTCAAGCCCTTTTCATTAGTTTTCCTTAAATTTAAACATTGAAAACAAAGATAGAATACACCTAGAAACGCTCCAACAATCCAACGTCTTGAATGACAAGCACGGCTCCAGGTGGCTCCTCCTTCCTTCCTTGCTGCGGCACAATAGGGATTTTCTGAATTTAGGCTCTTAAGGTGTGGTGTGAAATTGTGGTAGAGGGTGGTGATCTGATTTGTGCGGCATAATGAGGTATTTATAGGCTAGGGTTCACACAATTTTTGAAGGGAAAAGGACTGCACAATCCTAGGGGAAAAGAATGAGGGTTACACGGCAAAGACCAAGGAGGAAAGGGATTCAAAAACTATAGCAGGGGATATGCCTTCTAGAAAGGGTATTGCGGCAGATTTCTAGAAGAAAAGGGATGAAATATGTGGCACAAACTTAGGGCACGAAAATAAGGCTTCTAGAACCTGATATTTAGGTGATTTAATGTGGAAATGAGTCATCTTTGCAGCTGGAATTAAGGTAAGAAAAGATTAGGTTAGGATAAGATAAGGTAATTTGAATAATGTTTCTTTCTTCATGGCTAATTTCTTATCCTCCAAGTCTTTGATTTAATTCCTCCAGATGTTCAGCACATTCCTAGTCTCTCTTGATCTTCAATTTCGTCCATCCACCTTGCTCCATGCATATGCAATCCATTCCAAGCCCAAAACTGCTTCAAGTAGTTCCAAATTTCACTTTCTTGCCAACTTTGTCATTTAAACTTACAAACACACGAAAATAGCTTAAAACACTATAATAAATGGAAACTAATTATGTAAATGTAAGAAAACAAGCTAACTAAGTCACATAAATATGCTCATATCAATTATTATTATTATTATTCCACTTTTCAAAATAAATTTGAAAATAAGAATAGTGATATCGCTTTCTATTTTTCATAAAAATAAAATTAGTATTTGTTTTGTAACAAAATTACGCAAATTCGTGAGGTAGAGAAGAAAATGGACAAAAGGATAAGAGGGGTTGGATAAAAATCAAAAATGGAAAATTAAACTTTCGATCGGATTATAGGAAATATAGTTATGAGATTGATATCTAGTTATTAGTACAATCTCAAGTGATAGTCTTTTTTTTTTGAACAAAATCTCAACTAAAGGAGTGGAGAGTGGATTAAACGTTATAATAGGTTTACTATAATAATGTGGTTCAACTTCGTCTTTGACAAAAATCAAATTATGTGGTTCAACTTCGCAATCAAATCTAAGATTACTTATTTATAAGTAATGAAAATATCATCAAACGATAGTACTAAGTGGTACTTAAGTGACCAAGTCATTGATTTAGGCCGTCGTTTTCTGTTTTAGTGGGAATAGTCAATAGTGGGCATATATCAAATCTAACGGCGGAGAATAAAAAGCTTCTGACTGACGAATTTTAGCTTTTCTTTTCACGCGCTCATTTCCTTTCTTTCCACAAGTCGTAAATAGACGGTAGGACAGCAGAGGGAGGAGAGAGAGGGGAGAGGGAGGGAGAGAGATCCAGCTGGCGACCTGGGACACGTAGTCGTAAGCAGCAGGCATCTGGAGTCTCTGTGAGTTAACAGACGGCCGACTCTCTGCTCCTTCGCTCCTCCAATCCCCTCCAATCCAATACAGTCCAATCCAATAAAATCAAATCTGAATTGGCCTTTTTTACTTTTAATTGGGTATTCGAATCCCGGAAATTGTTTGGATTCCGGGGTTTCCGATTCGGTGGAGCTCCAGCTCCGGCATGCCTCTGTCTCTGAGCATTCAGCTGAAAGAAAGCTTTCAGCTTGCCTGGTTGTTGGTGTAAGCTTCGATAATATTCCGATCGGTGTCCTTGTTTGGAGGTGAAGGAAGCTTTGGGTTTGGGGCTTCCCTTATTCCCTTATATCAAACTTGGGAGGCATTGATTCATTACCAGTTGGTATCTGCTGCTGAGAAGTCGACATGGTCAGTGGGCACTTGTTCCCTTGTAGAAAGAATTCATGGCCGCCTGAGGAGTATATCAGCAGAAACACTTTGCACCTGGTTCGTTATTCTCTTTCTCTCTCTCTCGTTTTGAATTGGTGTTATTAACTTGGGTTGTAATTGGTTGCTGAGAAAATGTAAGAGGTGCAAGAAAACAAGCAAAAGAAAGTTCCTTTAACTCTAGAATTTACTTAACAAAGTCGGAGATCATAGCTCTATACTTGGTTTCAATGATGATAATCAAATTTAAGTGCCTTTCAATTATCCGGCCCTCATAAAACCCTGTTGTCTAATGTGTGCAAAGCAATTTATTTGATGATTTCCTTTGCATTTTCTTCCAAGTTTTCGGACTTCGAAGGAATTTGAGTAAGCCGTGGGCATTTCAATTAGCTATGAACCCATTGATTAGTTCGCCATTTGTGTTAGTTACCATTGTTAACTAAATATAGTCGGCCAATAAAAACCACACTCTAGAACCTTGAGTAACTAAATGTTTGTTAAGTTATGAACTACATTTAAGTAACAACCATAAGCCAGTAAATTAAAGTTTCCTTGTCCACTGCTTTCTGCTTTCTACCCTCAAGGTTCTAGAGTGTGGTTTTTATTGGCCGACTTTATTTAGTCTTAATCTTTCTTATTTTTAGTTTTGCTTTCTTCGAGCATTAAATAGTGTTTTATATTGTGTTTTTACGGTAGGGATCGTTCTGGACCGGGGATTAGGAGGGATTGTTAATCACTTGGATTTGACTTAAAAACGTAAAAACACAATATAAAACACTATTTAATGCTCGAAGAAAGCAAAACTAAAAATAAGAAAGATTAAGACTAAGACTTCAACGAAATAGGGGGGAATTGGATTTGGACGAATTTAAACTAAAATGGATACTTGGAAACAAAACAAATTGTAAATATGGATTTGACGGAAATGAATGGATGGGAAGCTAGCTAAGGGGTTCATCTCTATACATGTTATACTTGCATACAAAACGATTTCTAATTGCTTTTCAATAAACCATGAATTCTCAACGCCCCGGGTTAATTAGGTCCGCTTAATTAACCGTCAAGTTTTCCTTAAGTTAATGAATTGGATGATTGCATACGACAATCCAAAGCATTCCTCACAAGTTCCCTACATGAATTGCATAATAGAGATACAAGCAAGAATCATTAAGCAACATGAAAACTATAAGTGTTGACGAGGCATTCGTTACTATGATTGCATGAAACTTATGCCAAGAATTTGTTTAACGCGATTGTTTATAAGCAACCTCCACTACTTGTGAATATAAGTTCATAACTATTACGTGAAACTCACTTATATTCTAGCGTCAAATTCATGCATGAAAATTAAGCGTCGACTCTCAATAAACATACATAAATAGGTTATCAATCAAATAGTTAAACAAATTGAATTCACAACTTATGAAACGTAATTAAAAGTAATCAAATCATATTGCAAGCATAAACATATATTTCGAATCACCCCCTAGCTAAGGGGGGTTTAGTTCCTCATACTTACAAAACAAAGAGAATTGAAATTAAACATTGAAATCAAAGAAACACCTAAACATTCCAACAACTCAAACTTGAATTGTATGAACGTTTAGGCCCTTTTCTCTTCCTCTTCTTTGTAGCATAAGGTCTAAGGATAGTTGGTTTGGGGGAATGGAAGTGTGGAATGAAGTGAGGAGTGCTGGAAGTGGAAGAGGATTGGTGTTTGGATTATAAGAGAAGGGGGACTCACGGCTAAGGAAAGAATGGAAGTGTTTGTGGTGTGTTGTGTATGAAATGAGATGATGCTTGAATGAATGAATGCAAGGGTATTTATAGGAGGAGTGAAGGTGTAAATGGCTGTTTGTTTAAGCATGCAAGTGGCTAATTAATGATGAACAAACAGCTAAGAAAGCATATGCAAGCTGGAATTGCATGAGGGGAGCAAAGGGAACCCACGACATTGAATGTTTTGGTGCATGTGTTGCTGATTTGTTTGTTGGGGAAGCATGTGTTTGCATGTGAATGTTGTTTGTGTGAAGTGTGTGTGAATGCATGTGAATTAAAGAATGAATGGTGACTGAAATGATGAAGTAGGAAGGTGGAAATGCATGTGAAATGTAAAGGGAAAAACTGGAAATGCTAAAGGAATGCCACGGCATTGAAGGTGTTTTGTGTTAGTTTTGGGGTTGTGATGCATGTGTTGAATGATTAAAGGGACATGTGGGGTGTATATGTGGCTGAAATGATGAAGTAAGAAGGTGGAAATGCATGTGTTGAAGAATGAATAAAGAAATGCATGTAGGGTTAGCTAGGTTGGCTTTGTTTGGATGCATGTGTTGGCTCAATTATATTGTTGGGAAGGCATGTGGATTAGGTAGAATGTAGGTGGGTTATAATGATGAATGCATGTGTTTGCAAGGAGGAAACGTGCAGAAAATGGAAACACATTGCACGGCAATGTGTTTTGGGTGCATGTGTGTGAATGTTTGGCTTAATGATTAAGGGAAAAAGCTTGGAAAGCATGTGGCTAGGTAATGTAAGTGAATGATGTGCATGTGTGTGAATGCATGTGGAATTAAGAAGAGTATGGAAGTGAATAAATCATAATAGGGCTAGTTTAAAGGGCTAGGGTTTAAGTACATAGAATGGGCCTAAAATAGGTTGGTTTGCATGGCATAATATGTTTGATTGGGCTAGAGGTTTTCCATGGCTCAAAGGATTTGTTTGATTGGGCTAGGCCCTTTGTTTGATGTCCCCAAAGAGCATACAAGGCTTCAATTTCGTCCATCCTCTTTGCTCCATGATTAAGCTATCCAATCCATGCCCAAAAGTGCCCCAAATAGCCTCAAAATGCACTTTCTTGCTCCCTAAGCCCTTAGAACCTGAAAACACACAAAAGAAGCATAAAGGACTAAAATAACTAGAGAAACATAACGTAAATGCACGAGAACAAGCCATTTAAGTCGCATGAATATGCTCTTATCAAACTCCCCCACACTTATCTTTTGCTAGTCCTCGAGCAAAACAGAATAAAAACAAATAAACAAAACGACACTAAACACGTAAAACACAACCTACACCTTCCAACAATCGTTTCAGGGATTTCCAATGCACATGACAAGTTAAAAATCATTATTCCAACAGAATTTAGCCATCTTTACCCTTAAGTACATTCTTAATCATAGTCACCACATACTAGTTCACAATTAAGCATTTAAAACCATGTTTTGAATGTAGTAACATGCCTTAGAGAATTTGCTCAATTCCTTACAAGATATGCACTTGATTTTCACTCAGATTTTCTAACTACACACCCTAATCTAGCCATATGTGAGAAGATTTAATGAAAACGAACACTCACATATATATATATATCACAAAGAGAGCAATTTCTGGAGTTAATAAGCATGTTTAGATATGATCTCATGAATTGAATGCTACTACTTAGACGCGAGAACCAGTGACACCATATGCTCATACCAAGTTCAAACTCCACAATTGAAATACACAACACTCAAGATAGAAGTTAAGGGTTGTAACGGGGCTTGGGGTATGTGGATAACAAAGAAGGGATACGGAAAACAAAGGTTCTTAAAGAAATAGTGAGTAAGGCAATTGAATCAACTTAGAATTCACTTTTGAATGAAAACTCAACTTTTGAACAAAAAGGGAGAATTTAGACAATTTAGGGCCAGAATTGGTGTTTTGAACCCTTTCTTCAATGACTCATTCTTTCATTTTTTTTTCAAGCTCTTTTTTCTTTCTTTCTTTCTTTTCTTCTCTGTTTTTCTTTTCTTTTGAATCTCAAAACATACTTAAGAACAAGCATTCCTTCCCCCACACTCATTTTCTTGCCTAATGTAACTCAAAAGGAATTCATTTAAGTCATGCTCACTATCTTTTAAGAACAAGGGTGTGGATTGTCCTAGACTAGGCTAGGTGAGGATAATGTGAGTTAACAAAGAATAAAGGCTAAACAAAGCTCAACAGGGGTAAAACTTACAACATATACGAAATATGGGAAGTGAGGCTATTTGGCTATGGTGACAACTACACAACTTCATCTTGATATATGTTATGCAAATCAATAACATGCTTTGAATGAAATGGGCATGAGTTCTAGCATTTGGAACTACATGATGAAACGCCTTCTAAGTAGTAACCAAGCAAAGAATAATGAGATCATGCAACGACTTTAGAAAACAAGAAATCACAGATTATACTCTCCAAAGAACGTTATAGGCTCAAGTCTCTCAGGGTTGTAGCGTTTGTTTGAGTTCCTTCCTTCAGGCATGTTACAAAAACTAATTTTTCTTTTATGATTGCATGTGAAGTCATACATTATAACCATAACCAAGCATATACCAAGAGTAAATCAAACTTTTCTCTATGTTTATAACTCTTTTTAACAGTCATGCAATTAAAAACCAAATCCTGAGGCAAGTGTTGGAAGGTACCTACGACACAAACACACAAAAACGACTCAAAACACTCTTTTTAGGCTTTTCAAAAAGTTTTTATGTGATTTTCAGAGTTATAAAACAAAACACACTAAAACACTCTAAATCAGTTTAAAAACATTTTAAAACAGCAAAGGACAACACTTGAAGTGATAGGTGATAAAATCCAACGAATTTGCATCAACATACTTAGTTACCCCCCCACACTTCAACCAAACATTGTCCTCAATGTTTTAAGCTTAAAACACACCAAACAAAAGTAAACACATAAACAGCAACTAAACATACTAAACATGGCAGAATGTATCTAACAAAGAGAAGAGTTTAGGGATGCAAATCTGGTTATGGAGTGTAAATTCCATCTTCTCCTTGGTGATTGCAGTGAGGCTTCATCTTGAGTTTTTCCACAGGCTACTCTTGAACTGAGCTGGAGATTCTTTTGGTTTCCTCCGATCGTTGATTTTCCTTTGTGCTACTCTTGAACTGGGCAGCAGGATTCTTTTGGTCTACCCCGAAGGTCTGAGCTTACTCCTTTTATTTGTTTCTTTGTTCAATCTCTCCAATTCGTATTGAAGAGGGTTAGAGGATAGCTCAGCAACGCTAGGT